GTAATCCCACGCTTTGGGAGGCTGAGGTGAGTGAATTGCCTGGCAACTTGGCAAGACCTCATCTCTACAATAAAAAAACAAAAAAATTAGCCAGGCGTGGTAGCGCACACCCGTAGTTCCAACTACTTGGATGGCTAAGGCAGAAGGATCGCCGGAGCCTAGTAGGTAGAGGCTGCAGTGGCCGGGAGCGGCCGCTGCACTCCAGTCTGAGCAACGGAGTGAGACTCCAACTCAAAAAAAAAAAACTAAACACAGATTTGCCATATGACCCAGAAGCTGCATTCCTAGGCATTTGTTCCAGAAGAATGAAAGTTACATCTTTCAAAAAAATCTGTAAAGCTTTATTTGTAACAGCCAAAAAGTAGAAACAGAAACCAGTGAATAATTAAACAAATTATGGTATGCCCTTGTCATGAAATACTATCAAACAATAAAACAGAATGAACTACTGATATATGCAACAACTTGAATGGGTCTCAAAGGCATTATGCTGAGTGTGGAGGCTTGAGTAACTTCATCTTGGATGCTAATCTGCCATGTTGACTTCTGATTAACCCTAGTTCTGGGAAGGTCTCTAAGGTCTTCTATTTATCTATTGTTCCATATGTAAGAGCAAATACCATAAATCCTGCCTGTAGGTCAAACAACCTTAATGTTATCATACTTCAGTTGCCATACACATCCTTTCTGTATCACCCCTTCCTATGGTAGATACGCCCCAGGTCTAAGGGGTCGTGGTGTCAGGATCTGTCATTTTGTCTCATCAGTGCCGAAGAAACAGTCATGACTTCTGCTTGTAAGTCCCTATTAAATGTTTCTTTCTAGACCAGGCACGGTGGCTCACATCTATAATCCCAGCCCTTTGGGAGGCCGAGGTGAGAGGACTGCCTGAGACCACAGGTTCAAGATCAGCCTGGGCAACTTGGTGAGACCTCATCCCTACAATAAATCAAAAAATTAGCTGGGTGTGGTGCACATGCCTGTGGCTCCAGCTACTTGGAAGACTGAGGTGGAAGGATCACCTGAGCCCAGAAGGTTGAGGCTGTGGTGGCTGTGAGCGTGCCACCGCATTCTAGACTGGGCAACAGAGTGAAATTCCAACTCAAAAAAAAAAAGTTTCTTTCTTAGAAACTGGGTGAGTCAGTGTCTTTCTTTGACCTGTCAGTTTCCTCTGCCTTGAGGGGTAGGTTTGCATAGACCTGCTCATTGTGAAACATGAGTGACAATCTCAAAAGGACACATACTGTTATTATTTCATTTATATAACATTCTAGAAATGAGAACAAAGACAGTCCTCTCTCAGAGATGGAGAACTGATGAGTGGTTAGGGATTAGGGATGGTGGGGGAGATGGGAGTGGCCGGAGCTATAAAGGGCAGAGCAGACTGGTAGAAGTGGCAGTGTCTTTTTTAACCCAACCTTGAAGCGACACACGTCATCATTTCTGCCATTTTCTATTGGTGACACAGACAACCCTGGAACAATGTGGGCTAGGAGGCAGAGACTTTTAGGAGTCATTTAGGTGGCTAGCACACCAACTGATGCTAGTACAAGAACATGTAATACATAAGAATACAAAACAGGCCAGGCCAGTAGCTCATGCCTGCAATCCCAACACTTTGGGAAGCCGAGGTGAGAGGATTGCTTGAGCCCAGAAGTTCAAGATCAGTCTAAGCAATATAGGGAGACTTTCATCTCTACAAAAAAAAAATTTTTTAAATTAGCTGAGTGTAGTGGTGTGTCATCTGTAGTACCAGCTTTTGAGAGGTTGAGGCAAAAGGATTGCCGTGAGCCGTAATCATGCCACTGTACCCCAGCCTGGGTGAGAGTGAGACTTCAACTCAAATAAAATAAAAAAACTAAAGTAAAAAATACACAAAGGCTGAGGGATGTAAAAAAAAATAAGATACACCATACTAACTCTAAACAAAAGAAACTGGCATAGGTGTACAGCATTTAATGACAAAAGAGACTTTAAGACAAAAAGATGAGCTGGGCACAGTGGCCCACGCCTATAATCCCAGCACTTTGGGAGGCCAAGGTGAGAGGACTGCCTGAGCTCACAGGTTCGAGAGCAGCCTGACCAACTTGGCGAGACCTCATCTCTACAATAAATCAAAAAATTAGCCAGGTGTGACAACACAAGCCTGAAGTTGCAGCTATTTGGAAGGCTGAAACGGAAGGATCAACTGAGCCCAGCAGGTCGAGGCTGCAGTGGCCAGGCGCATACCATGCACTCCAGCCTGGATGACAGTGAGACTCCCACTCAAAAAAAGGGACAAAAAGACGTACCAGACCTAAAGCATGAGTGGAAAATAGTGGAGCATAAACTGGGCTCGGTGGTTTAGCCTGTAATCCCGTGCCTTTGGGAGGCTGAGGTGAGTGGATTGCCTGAGCCTGCGGGTGAGTGGATTGCCTGAGACCCGCCTGGGCAGCAAGACCTCATCTCTACAATAAATCAAAATAAATAAATAAAAAAAATCAGCCGGAGCTGTAGTTCCAGCTCCTTGGAAGACTGAGGCGGAAGGATCGCCAGAGCCCAGCAGGTTGAGGCTGTGGTGGCCAGGAGTGTGCCACTGCCCTCCAGTCTGGGCAACAGAGTGAGACTCCAACTCAAACAACAAAAAATAGTGGCGTACAGATAGCATGCTTAGATGACTCTTTAAGGAAGCAGAAAGGGCCAGGAGTGGTGCCTCATGTGTGTAAACCCAGCACTTTGGGAAGCTGAGGCAGGAGGCTTGCTTGAGTCTAGAAGTTCAAAACCAGCCTGGGCCAGTTATTTATTTGTTTATTTACTTATTTTGAGTTGGAGTCTCATTCCATCACCCAGGCTAGAGTACAGTGGTACACTCACAGCCACCCTAGCGTCGACATGCTGGGCTCAGGCAATCCTTCCGCCTCAGCCATCCAAGTACCTGGAACTACAGGCATGCATCACCACGCCCAGCTAGTTTTTTGATTTATTGTAGAGATGAGGTCTCACCAAGTTTCCCAGGCTGTTCTCGAACCCGTGGGCTCAGGTAATCCCCTCACCTTGGCTTCCCAAACTGCTGGGATTACAGGTTTGAGCCACCACACCCAGCCCATTTATTGAGGACTTGCAATATGCCAGTCATTGTTCTGAATACTTCACATACATTCACTCAGTTGTTATAACAAGCTTTTGAGGTAAACACTATTTTCCCTATATTATAGATGAGGAGTCTAAGGCTCAGAAAAGTTAAGTAACTTGCCCAAAACCACACAGCTAGGGAGCATGGTGTTAGGATTTGAAAACAGACAGCCAGAACCATTGTACCTTAGTACATCTGGAAGAAACGTGACAGAGGAGGTGGTGGCATAAGAAGTGAAGGACAGTGTCACTAGCAGAGGTAAGGGAATTTATCTTTTTTTTTTTTTTGAGTTAGAGTCTCACTCTGTCACTCAGGCTGGAGTGTATGGCATGCTCTCAGCTACCACAGCCTCGGCCTGCTGGGCTCAGTTGAGGGCTGGAATTTATCTTGCTAGAACAAGAAAAGTTTACTCTTTACAGGCAGAAACAAGTGAAAGACGGTAGGTTCAGTTAAGTTTAGGGAGTTTTCCACCTGAGGGTTTTTTTTCTTCTGTGAAGTATGGGGCTAGGTGTGATCCAGAGTAAGTCACTTAACATCTGAGTCTCACTTTCCTTGCCTATAATATGGAGATAAAGGGACCTACATGATATGATTCTCAAATAAAAATAAGCTGGGCGCAGTGGCTCACGCCTATAATTCCAACACTTTGGGAGGCGGAGGCAAGAGGATTGCCTGAGCCCATGGGTTCAAGACCAGCCTGAGCAACTTGACAAGACCTCATTTCTGCAATAAATTGAAAAACTAGCTGAGCATAGTGGCGCATGCCTGTAGTTCCAGCTACTTGGAAGGCTCAGGCAGATGGATCGCCTGAGCCCAGCTGATAGAGGTTGCGGTGGCCATGAACGTGTCACTGCACTATAGTCTGGGTGACAGAGTAAGACTCCAACTCAAAAAAAGAAAAAATAATAAGATAAAGTAGTATAGAACATGACCTCAATCTGTTCTTCAAAAAGCATTATATATATACACACAAAGAAAAAAAGAGTAGAAAAGATATATACAAAAATATTGGCAGGAGTCTCATCTGGGTGGTGGGATTATATGAGGTTTTCTTTTATTTTATGGAAACAAGGTCTTGCTATGTTGCCCAGGCTGGTCTCGAACTCCTGGGTTCAAGCAATCCTCTTGCCTCAGCTTCCCAAAGTGATGGGATTACAGGCGTGAGCCACTGTGCCCAGCCAGTTCTTTTCTTAGGTGCTTGTCTATGATTTTCCAAATTTTAATAACACAAAATGAAGTGTCCGGATGTAACAGATACTCAGTAAACACAAGTCTCATTTCTTCCCCGACTGCTGATCTCTTCTCTGAAAGAACAAGGATGTGACATCTGAATAAAGGAGAAAGCAAGAGGCCCAAGGCTTCCCAAGGACTTCTGCTTCAGGTCAGTACGTACTTAAAGCTTTGCTCCTTCTGCAGGTCTGCAGCTATGAACCCCACAATATTTTATGTTCAGCTAACATTTGACCCAGAGCAAGGGTCAGGAGCTTAGTAGAGAGGCCCGAAGTATCCCTGGGATCTGGGCGCTCTGTGTAGTCGACCCAGCCTGGAGCTGTGAGCCCCATAGGGACGTTTCCATCGAGGTGGCAAGTCCCCAGAAGATAAGAGAGAATTCTGGAAGAAAAAAGCAATACACTCCCAGCACCCATGGCCCCTCCCCACCCTTCCCCTTCTCCTACCCCAGGGAGGGGAAGAACACGAAGATTTCCAAACAGAAGGCTGGGTTCTCCTCCTACCTCTGGCACCATTCAGAACCTGGGCAAGTAATTTTACTTGGCTGAACCTTAGTTTACACACCTGAAAAGTAGCACAAAGGACCCTACTTAATAATGTCTGCCTGTGTTGGCTACCCTCAGTCCAATCCCCTTCCCTGGAGTCCTGAGACGGAAGCTGAGAGTGGGGCACAAAGGATATTTATTCAGGCTTGATCCCTTGATACACCCATGTGTAAAAATATATAATTTAAAACCAGGAAAATAATCATCATGTCGGTGTGACCTCCCCTCCTCCCCTTTGGCATGACCTTCTCAACTAGACCCCTTCTCAACTGCTTCCTTCGAGACCTTGGAGTGTGGCAGGCAAGGGTCACTTCTTGGCAGCTTCTGCCTGGGCTGCCAAATCTGCTTCTTTCTGAGCAGCCAGGAATAAGGCTCGCTCCTTCTGGAAAGCTGCCATCTCTTCTGAACTGAGGCTGCAGGTGAGGAAAGACAGGTGGTTGGTCACTGATGGGTGCTCACAAGGGTTCATGTAACTGTCTCAGACAGAGCTCAGCTTCCCTGGTCCCTTCTCCCTTCCTGATTCCCCAGCCTCAATATCTTTGCTCACGTGTTCTCTGCTGGGAATGCTGCACCACCACCCTGGCCACCTGTCTTTTTTTCCCTTGGTAAAGCCCTTCTCAACTTCTAAGGCCTCAGTTACCGGTTAACTCAGAACCTCAGCCAAGATTAACCGGTTCTTCCTCTGTGTCAAACTACTTTGTACAATGAAGTCACAGGGCTATGCATATGTGTCTCTCCCACAGCAGGGATCAGATTTATTCAGCCCCAAGTTCCCAAAAAGTAAGAATTTGAGAAAAGTCAAGTCCCTCTCTACTCCATGTTTAATTTGTCTGCTCTTGGGAAACAACAAATGATCAGCCTTGGCGTGGGGTGTGACATAAGCAGCAAGATGCCAATAAAGGGCTGAGTGCTGTCCTTGTCCCTGCTGTTTTCTGGGCCAGACACTCTGCCACCTTACAGGGAAACAATTCCTGAGAGATCACTCAAAGCCCCATGAGTGGGGCCCCCTGTTGGCCTCAGGAGCAAGTCTGAACTTGACACAGGTCAAAAGGTCCTTCCTGACTGGTCTCTCCCTCACTCATTCCCCACTCTGCCTCTAGAAATACACACTTCGATAACAAAGAACCTTGCTTCACTCTCTCACCTTCCATCCTTCACTGGAATCTATTTCTTGGAAGATTTGCCCCAGCCCTTAACCTCCTTTTCCAGGTCTTTGTTCAGCTGTCGCCTGCCCCCTGGAGTCCTCACTGACACACCAGGCAAAATCATGAGCCCTCCTCCCTGCTCAAGACACCTAGAGTTCTCTTCTCAACACTGACCATCCAGCAGCCTAATGTTCCTTATGGACCTGCCTCCACCCTTGGCCTGTGAGGGCAAGCATGACTGCTGTGTGCCTGGCTGTATCCAATGTCCAGAACAATGTCTAGGACATAATAGGTGCTTAATAAGTGTATTCCAGCTGAGTGCAGTGGCTCACACATGTAATCCCAGCACTTTGGGAGGCTGAGGCAAGAGGATTGTCTGACTTCAGGGTTTCGAGACCAGCCTGAGCAACATGGCAAGACCTCATCTCTACAATAAATAAAAAAAATTAGCCGGACATGGTGGCGCGTGCCTGTGGTTCAAGCTACTTGGAAGGCTGAGGTGGAAGGATTGCCAGCAGGTTGAGGCTGCGGTAGCCGTGAGCATGCCACTGCACTCTAGCCTATGCGACAGAGTGAGACTCTGACTCAATAAAAAAAAAAAGTGTATTCCAAATGAAGAAGGCCTCTAATCCCTACACAATCCCCTAAAATCTAGGGTCCTTTGATTCAAAAGCTGACTCTCCCATTGTAACAGGCCTTTCAGCTTCACCCAAGACAAGTGCTTTCTGAGCCCTTTCTTCATGCTGCAGCTCCCAGGACACTCACTCTTTCACCACGCGAATGCCCAGGGAACGGGCAGAGCCGATGATGGAGCGGACAACAGAGGACAGGGGTACGTCCTTTAGGGCAAAGGCCTCATCTTGAGCTTTGACGCGGGCGATCTCATACACGTGCTTCAAGGTCACCAGGCCTGCCACCTCTTTTCCTGGGAGGAAGGAACAAGTGGTTCTTTGGTGTTACTGCTTCCTTCCAGAGCCCCTGGCATCTCAGATGCTCATCCTGCCCTCACCTGTCTGCCGAGCACCCTTCTCAATCCCAGCAGCTGCCTTTAGGAAGTAGGAGACAGTGGGTTGTCCAATCTTGATTTCAAATGTCCTGTCAGGCTGAACAGAAAAAAGAATTATGAGACTCTCTCTTCCTGCTATCCCATCCTAGGGAACATCTGTCTATCTGTCTATCATCTGTATATCTGTCTATCTATTTATTTATATTTGGAGTCTATCTATCCATCTCTCTATTTATTTATATTTAGAGTCTCACTCTGTCGCCCAAGCTGGAGTGCAGTGGTGCACTCATGTTCACCGCAGCCTCAGCCTGCTGGGTTCAGGTGATCCTTTCGCCTCAGCCTTCCACGTAGCTGGAACCACAGGTGTGAGCCACCATGCCCAGCTAATTTTTTGATTTATTGTAGAGACGAGGTCTCATCAAGTCGCTCAGGCTGGTCTTCAACCCCTGGGCTAAGGCAATCCTCTTGCCTCTGCCTCCCAAAGTGATGGGATTACAGGCATGAGCCGCTGTGCCCGGCTGGGAACTTCTAACATCTTGTCCCTTTAACTGGCTCACCTATGGGGTCCCTCTAAAGCACCACAAAACCACAAGGGATAATAAACCCGCAGCAAATATCCCTGTTCTCTCGGTTCCAGGCTCAACTCTGTTCTGGAAACCCCAAAGAGAAGCAAAGGGAAGAAATGTAACATGGCAGAATGCAGGATGGGTCAGAAAAAATATGGTCCAGTCTTCACTGTGTAAATAGGGAAGATAGGGCCCAGTAATGGAAAGAGACTTACACCAGGTGAAGAGAAAAGTCTCAAGCCCAGGTGACCAGACCCAGGGTCAAGGATGCATGAGGGGGAATGAGAAGGAAACTGGGGATCGGAGCCCGGACTCCGCACCTTCACAAAAATCTTGGTAGGCAGGGGAATGCCTTCTTTGATGTCCTTCGTCTTCTCGTTGAATTCCTTGCAGAACTGGTTGATGGAAACGCCTCGCTGGGAGGGAAGCACAGGGGTTAGTGCGGGAGGAGGGGGTGGCTTCCTACGACCCAGGAGATACCGTCCGTTCCCTCCTTCGTCTTCACTTCCCTGTGTTCCCAACCTCTTTCCTCTCCAGGTGATTTTCACGCAACAACCCGCTTTAGTCTCACCGCAGCCTACAGAGAAAGGGACGAGGAAGCTGAGGCTCGAGGACTCCACGTAACTAACACAAGGACATGAAGCGTGAGAGAAGCAGAGCCAAGCTCTGACCCGAGGCCACCCTGGCTCCAGAGCCTGCACCCTCTACCCGCGTCCTGGCACCCAGCCTCCGTGGGCGCCCCTGCCGGGTTCCCGCCATGGCCGCACCTGACCCAGGACGGGGCCAAGTGGGGGCCCGGGCATGGCCTGGCCCGCCCGCACGATGGTCCGGATCACGCCGCCGACCTCGGGCTTCCTGAGGGCCCGAGTGGCCCGGCTGAGCTTCGACATGACGCGGGGCTCCCGGCTTTCGTTCGACTCAGGAAAGCAGCAAGAGCGGCGCTGCGGGCGCCACCATCTTGGGGCAGAGGTCAAGGGTCCTCGCGTGAGGGCTGGGGCAGGTGAGGCCAACAAATAGCCGCCTTGTTTCAGTCTTACCGCTCGCCCACTAGTAAGACAAAGAGGGTGAGAGAAAAAGAAAACACTTTCATCTCACCTTTTGCCGATAGGGGAAGGCTCCCAATGGCCTCCATACGCATACTCATCCAGGAGCGCGCACAGGCAATGCCATGGACAGCTAAACAGGAAGGTGGGACCTTGATGCCCGCAAGGCATTGTGGGTATGGTAGTTTCAACCTTTTGTACAAGGCCGGCCGATGCTGTGCTCTAGAGCGCCATCTGCTGGACACGGTGATAATCTAGAGTTTGAAATGAATCTGGACCCCGTTCCTGGGAATGAGTCTTTACTGTTGCCTAAACTGTTGTTGAAAGTCAGCACGATGCCGGGCTCGGTGGCTCAGCCTGTAATCCCGCCCCTTTGGGAGGCTGAGGTGAGTGGATTGCCCGAGCCTGAGGGTTCGAGATCCGCCTGGGCAGGCAAGACCTCATCTCTACAATAAAATTAAAAAATCAACCGGGCGTGGTAGCGCACGCCTGTAATTCTGGCTACTCGGAAGGCTGAGGCAGAAGGATCGCCGGAGCCCAGCAGGTCGAGGCTGCGGTGGCCGGGAGCGGCCACTGCGCTCCAGTCTGGGCGACAGAGTGAGACTCCGACTCAAAAAAAAAAGAAAGTCAGCATGGTGAAGAGTGTAGACCCTGGATGCAAAGTACCCGCTTGCTCCTCTTGCTGACTGTGAACTTGATCAAGTTACTCGTGCTCTCTTTCCTCCCTTGTACAACGGGTATTATAATATGTAGCACCTACCTGTCAGGATTCTTGTGAGGACTGAGTTACCAAAGTGCTTTGGAATAATGCCTAGCACCTAGTAAGCCTGTGCTATTATTATCTGTACAACGAAGACAGGCTGTTGTGAGGTTTAACAGACTCGGAACATTCTATATGTCATCTGTGACCGGTCAAATAAGTCAGCATCTTACTGTATCATTTAACTCATTTTCTGAGTGCTTGCTATGTGTGTCAGGCACTGTGCTAAGTCCTTTAAGCGCACGATTGTCTTATTTAATCCTCCCAATGGCGTGTGATAAATACTTTTATTGTACCCCCTTTGCAAATGAGAAAGTCGAGACACAAAATGGGGGCCAAAACACCCAGCCTGTAAGCAAATATTGGGGCTATTGTGTTCTAGACCTTGTACTGTTAATAACCATTACTCTATACTGTCCCCTCTAGTAAAATGGGGGAATCCATGTAAAACCACACTGTACACTGGGAGGCACATATAAGTTTTTACGATGAATTTTTGTTGGACTCCCACTCATTAGATCTGATCGTCCCTGCCTCGAAGTCCGTCATGGCCTTTGTAACATTCAGCCTCATTAACCTTGTCAAGACTCTGGAACCAAGCTGTAAAACCTTGGACAAGGCCGGGCTCAGTGGCTCAGCCAGGAATCCCAGCACTTTGGGAGGCCGAGGCGAATGAATTGCCTGAGCCCGAGGGTTCGAGACCAGCCCGGGCAACTTGGCAAGACCTTGTCTCTACAACAAATAAAAAAATTAGCCAAGTGTGGTAGCGCGTGCCTGTAGGCTGAGGTGGAAGGATCACGGAGTTCAGCAGGTCGATCAATAGCATGGCTATTGATTGTGGAAACGAGGTCTTGCCAAGTTGCCCAGGCTGGTTTCAAACTCCTGGGCTCAGGCTAGCCTCTTGCCTTAGCCTCCCAAAGTGCTGGGATTACAAGCGTGAACCACCGCACCCGGCAATATTTAGAAGACAGAATTTATTTTATCCACCCCAGGCCTGGTAGTTCACGTCTGTAATCCCAGCACTTTGGGATGCCAAGGCAGGAGGATTGCTTGAGCCCAAGAATTAAGACCAGCCTGGGCAATATAGTAAGACTCCCATCTTTATAAAAACAATACTATTAGGGTCACACACTCCCAGCAGGGCTCCAAAAGGTAAAGTCAGGCCCGCTGGGGGTATGGAGTGTCTGGTGTGCGATCTGATGCTGCATGAAAGATGCAAAGAATTGCACAGAAGTTAGATTAGAAAATATAGTTTATTTATAAAGTAAATTAGAAAAAGAGCGAGAGAAAAAGAGGAGATTCACCTCCCCAAGGTAGGAGAGGCGGCCAAAGCTTAAGAAAATATGACCTGGCCATAGCTCAGAGAGCACATGGCCACACCACACCTTAGCAAGGCAATGGCAAATGATTGCTCATGGTTGAGTCCTTTTAACTATTACCCTTGGGCGTGGGAAGGTCATTAAGGTGATTGGGTGGTGGTCTGCTCTAGGTCTTTACAAAAGGGCAGGTAAGCTCAGGTACTGACATCAGGTGATGGACAGCAGGCAGATGGGTGGGTTAAAAAGACAGAGAGGATTTTTTTGCTAGAGACTGTCAGACATTTGCAGTCAACAAACTCCTTGACCAAAAGGTGGTCTATTATCATTTATATGGCTCTGTCCTTGTCTTGCATCTGATGGAGATTTGCCAAAGGGATGGGATAGACTGCTGCTTGGCCTGCAGTAGAATGTCTGAACGTTTCCTAAAGCCTGCCTATTGAAAATTTATGTATCCGGGCGGGATCTGTGGCTGTAATCACAGCACTTTGGGAGGCCGAGGCGAGTGGATTGTCTGAGCCTACAGGTTCGAGACTGGCCCCAAACAACTTGGCAAGACCTCGTCTCTACAAGAAAAAATTAACCAGCCTTGATAGCATGTAACTGTAGTTCTGGCTACTTGGAAGGCTGAGGCGGAAGGATCGCTGGAGCCCGGCAGGTCAACGCTGGGATGGCCGTGAGCATGCCACTGCACTCCAACCTGGGCGACAGAGTGAGACTCCAGCTCAAAAAAAAGAGAAAAAGAAAAAGAAAATTTAGCTGGGTTTGGTGGCTCAGCCTGTAATCCTGCGCTTTGGGAGGCTGAGGTGAGTGGATTGCCTGAGCCCGCGGGTTCGAGACCCGCCTGGGCAACTTGGCGAGACCTCATCTCTACAATAAATCAAAAAATTAGCCGGGCATGGTAGCACGCGCCTGTAGTTCTAGCTACTTGGAAGGCTGAGGCGGAAAGATCGCCGGAGCCCAGCAGGTCGAGGCTGCAGTGGCCGGGAGCGTGCCACTGCACTCCAGTCTGGGCAACGGTGTGAGACTCCTACTCAAATAAATAAATAAATAAAATAAAAAAACTAACTGGGCATGGCAGCACACGCCCGTGGTTCCAGCTACTTGGAAGGCTGAGGCAGAAAGATTCCATGTTGAGGCTGTGGTGGCCGTGAGCATTGCCACTGCACTCCAGCCTGGGCGATGGAGGGAAACTCTAACTAAAAACAAATGAACAAACTTTATCACTACCCTACAAGAGATACGTGCTGTTCTTACTCCCACTTTATAAATGAAGATGTTGATAAAAGTGCAGTGACACTGTATATACACAATTTGGTAATCTGCCTTGAGCGCTGTCTTGGGCCATTTTCTGTTGTTTATGACAGAACAGCTGAAACTGGGTAACTTATAAAAAATTAAATGTATTTCTTTTTTTCCTTTTTTTTTTTTTTTTT